CATGCTGTAGCTGGACTAAATAAACAATAGAATTTCAATCTTACTAAAAAAAAGTAAGATAATATCAAGAGGACAAAAAGAGGACAAGCACTGAAACAAATATTTCTTAACTTTTTCGATAGCTACATGCTTTAAGGCACAACAAAGCAGTTATCGACACGATATAGTTGTATAACTGCAAGCTTACAATTTAACTAAAAAGCCCAACTGTGAACATCATCGTGCTTACATATGTTGTGAACATGTAAAATATATCTCCAAAAGTCCAATGTACTTAATTCAAACAAATTTACACCATGCACATCTAATTCCAATGAATATATTTTTGTTTAAAGGTACTTCACTAATTGAACAATATTATTTAACGATGGAAAACCCACACAAAAAGCAATCAGTTTGCAGGTGTTCATTCAAAATGGCAGATTGTAATGGCCACCAAAGAAAACTTATGTCAGGAAAGTTCATCTTAAATGGTAAGAGACAGATGAGCTGTAATCATAGTACGGATGACGCACAACCTGAACGAGTTCCTCTTAGTACTATTGCAAAAGGTAGATCGTTGTGTGATTGTGTCTACTATTGAGAAATTAGACCATATGATACTTATGTTAGTATTTGTGGTATTTATACATTCTTCATGTAATTTGAATGGCAGGTTCATGTTCTAAACGAGCTCGACACAACAACATACATATATCATGTGATCCACCCACTACAAATGTTACGCCTATTACCACCACATGGAAAGTAACAGGTGGAAACTTCTCACTGACGAGTTTACCATCACATAGTGTGTGGCCGCACGATCAGAGATTTTTTAGTAACACTGTTGCATTACCTATTGCAACAAACGGTATGAAATTTTTCATAAAATACATCTACATCACCCGGACATTGACAAATATGTATTTCTTATAGGTACACAATGTGTACCGGGTGCAGCACGGCCGAGTTTTGGAACTTCTTCTACACACGTTCCTGACAATATTTTCAGGAGCCCCTTACGTGAAATTACTAACGGTGCATGATGTTTAAATTCGAGACATATTAATTGTGTATTAGTATATTTAAGAATGAAATGGATTAAACAACCGGTCTCTAACAATAGACAAATGATATCCACTGTAGAAAATATTTTCCCTGTGACCACCTCAAGGAGCGAACCTGAACATGTAAGAGAAGAACAATGTCATTCTAAAATGAAAGAAGCACCGACAACATCTAGAAGGCTTGGACCAGGGAGGTCTGTCTTGAGCAGGGGTACCATTATAAATCATAGCAAAGATGCAACAAAGTTTAAAACCCACGAATTTCCAATAAATGTTATGAATCAACAACATTCAGGTGATATGAAGTCCATTGCGTACATGCTATTATTTGATCTCTTTCTCTTTAAAACATATGTCCCACAACATCATATTCAGGTGATGCAAATGAAGAACAATTAACAGAGAATCAGGTTCCTCAAAGTTCATCTAAAGCTGGTGGTGATTCTCATAATGATATCCAATCCTTAGGTAATAAACTCAAATGTATATATATTTTAATGAAAAATTTATATTTTATTAAAATATTTAGAATTATTAAATGATCAAGTGTTACTAATATTTTTCTTTATAGCAAATGCGCCATGTGATGATGTTCTCATGCGTAATGAAGCTGTAAATGTCACTTTATCACATCATGAATATGTGACACAAGGCGAATCAAGTACCACCTCAAGACGCGAACCTGAACATGTAAGAGAAGAACAACGTCATTCTCAAATGAAAGAAGCACCGACAACGTCTAGAAGGCTTGGACCAGGGAGGTTTGTCTTGAGCAGGAGTACCATTATAAATCGTAGAACAGATGCAACAAAGTTTAAAACCCACGAATTTCCAGTAAATGTTGTTATGAATCAACAACATCCAGGTGATGTAAAATCCAATGCGTACATGCTATTATTTGATCTCTTTCTCTTTAGACCATATGTCCCACAACATCATATTTAGGTTATGCAAATGAAGAACAATTAACAGAGAATCAGGTTCCTCAAAGTTCATCTAATGGTGGTGATTCTCATAATGATATCCAAACCCTAGGTAATAAACTCATGTATATATATTTTTATGATAAATGTATATATTATTAAAATATTTAGAATTACTAAATGAGCAAGTCTTAATAATACTCTTCTTTACAGCAAATGTGCCATGTGATGATGTTCTCATGCGTAATGAAGCTGAAAATGTCACTTTATCACATCATGAAAATGTGACTCAAGGCGAACCAAGTACCATAGGTAATTATGTGTTAAACCTGAATACGAATTTCGTTGAAATATATATTTAGGTACTTGCGACATATCTTTCAATAATTGATAAGAAATTGTTCCAGAAGGACATGATTCAGAAGATGATCCAATATCAGATGACAATGACAACACCTTGCTAACATATCAAGGTATACATATTTTTCCATTAATAGTGACATCATACAATTTGTTGTATAATATGTACCACAAAATTTATCATGAAATTCTTTTAGGATATTCTGACATTGGAGATCCAATATGGGAGTGTGAATTTTGCAAGGCTCTGATGTGGTATTCTGAAAGAGTAGAAAAGGGATGGAAAGCAAAAAAGCCAAAATTCTCTTTATGTTGTATGCAAGATAAGACTTGATGATCTTCCTGAGCCACCTCAACTTCTTAGAGATTTGTTTCATAAGAAGGACAGGCGTAGTAAATATTTTTTGCAGAACATCCGATCATTCAATATGATGTTTTCTTTCACGTCTCTGGGTGGAAAAGTTGATTCCTCTCTTAATAATGGAGAAGCACCGCCTATTTTTATAATGAATGGAGAAAACTATCACAGAATAGGGAGTTTGCTACCCGTACCTGGAGATCATCCCAAGTTTGCCCAATTGTACATATACGATACCGACAACGAAATATCTAATAGAATGTCTGCGGTTGGGTAAGGGATTTTTCTTTATACTAAGAATAAGAACACTATTTCGTATACGTTTTAAACCATCAAAATGACAATGTTTTAAACAGATACTGACACTTCTATTACTTTCTTAGGATGGGAAAAGATTCGTCTCCAATCCAAGAATCCATCGTCGCTGACCTAAAAACAATGTTGGATGACTGCAATCCTTATGTTCAAGCATACCGCATGGTCCGTGATAGGGTTCAACAAAACGAGCTATCTTCTGTAAAGTTGAGGATTATAGGAAAAAGAGGAAACAAAGATAAAACATACAATCTGCCAACAGTCTCCGAAGTGGCAGCTCTAATTGTAGGAGACTTTGATGCAACTGGTGCTGAGAGAGATATAATTGTAGAAACGCAGTCAAACGTTTTGAAACGTATTTCTGTATTGAGCTCTGCGTATCTTCCATTACAATATCCCCTACTGTTTCCGAGGGGAGAGCAAGGATATACAGAGGACATTCCGTTAAATGAGTCTCAAAATGGACGATCTAACCAGAAACAAAATGTTTCGATGAGGCAGTTCTATGCCTATAGAGTCCAAAATCGTACAAAAGAACAAGCACTCATGTTGTTTTCAAGACGTCTCTTTCAACAACTATTGGTTGATGTCTACAGCACAATAGAGTCATCCAGGTTGTATTATTACAGGACTCATCAGAAGGAAGTGAGAGCAGACATGTACAAGGGTATTCAAGAGGCCATATTGAGAGGTGACACAAACTCTTCGAGTGTTGGCAAACGAATTGTGTTACCATCATCTTTCACAGGCGGTGCTCGGTATATGATTCAAAACTATCAAGACGCTATGGCGATTTGTGCTGCCATAGGTTATCCTAATTTATTCATCACATTTACCTGCAACCAGAAATGGCCTGAACTACATAGAACCTTGATTAATCAAGGATTAAAGTCTGAAGATAGACCAGATTTGATTTGTCGAGTGTTCAAGATCAAACTTGATGAGTTGATTAGAGATATCAAAGGAGGAAATGTCTTTGGGCCAGTCAGGGCGGGTACGCCATTTTCTAACTCATAATATATCTTACACATTTCACTTTTTTAACCAACAAAGAAATTTTATTAATGATAAAGAAAAAGAAAGTAAAAAGAGAAAAAGGAGAATACAAAGAAAAGATGAAGACACAAAGAAGATGAACAAATTAAACACCTTTCATTGTGATAATAAAAAACTCAACAGTATTATCCCTTATCATTACTCTGCATTTTGAGAACAACATTTTAACAAAACTTATGATGTAATATCTATATTTTAAAATAAAGTGTAATTTTAGGCGGGGGAATAATTAAAATACCCCAAACTTTAATGGGGTGTCAAATAAATAGCCCAAACTTGCATATGTAATCTATATACCTCAAATTTTATATATTATTCTCTCACCATCATTGTATATTTTTTTACAAGTACAAATTTATCATAAAAATTACATAATTTAAAATACTCTATACTTTGTTGGAATGCAGTTAAAATTCTAAAATCTCATTTGTGAAATAGTTAATATTACATCTGGTGCAATTTAATTTAATTTGAATTCTCATTATTTTTTTTTGTGTATTTTAAACTATGAACATAATACCAATATACCATAAAGTAATAGATTTGTGAAAAATATATGATAATAGTGCTAATATAATAACATTTTGGGATATTTAAATTATTTTTGCCTATGTTTTATGATCCAGCAAAGTGATGCATATTCTTTTGACATGCAGTGATTTATACAATTGAATTCCAAAAGAGGGGACTACCACATGCACATATTTTGCTTTTCTTGCACCCACAATTTAGATACCCAAATCCATGTGACATTGACAAAATCATTTCTGCTGAACTCCCGGATCCGGACAATGATCCAGATTTATTGAAGATTGTATCATCACTCATGATTCATGGCCCGTGTGGAGTGCAAAACAGAAAATCGCCGTGCATGCAGAATGGAAAATGTAATAGGTATTTCCCAAAGAAATTCAACGAAAACACGAGCATTGACGATGACGGATACCCAGTGTATCGACGAAGAGAGAATGGTCGAGTTATTCGAAAGGGTCGATATGTCATTGATAACAGATTTGTTGTTCCTTACAATCGTTATCTACTTTTAAAATACAATGCTCATATCAATGTTGAATGGTGCAATCAATCTCGGTCCATTAAATATCTCTTCAAGTATGTCAACAAGGGTCAGGATCGGGTCACCGCGAGCTTATACGATGGTGATGCAGATGTCTCATCAGGTTGCGTGGACGAGATAAAAAATTATTATGATTGTAGGTATCTGTCATCATGTGAGGCTGCATGGAGACTGTTTGCCTTTGACATTAGTCATAGGGAACCTTCAGTGGAGAGGTTACCCTTTCACTTGCCAGAAGAGCAACAAGTTTTATTTGATGAAGGGGATTCACTTGAGCAAATTTTGCAAACACATGAAACAAAGGGTACCAAGTTCCTTGCGTGGATGGCCGCAAATGAAAAGTACCTTGAAGCAAGAAGCTTAACTTATGCTCAATTTCCTTCAGCGTTTGTTTGGAAACAAAAAACACGTGAGTATTGCCCTAGAAAAAGGGGACATTCGATTGGCAGGTTGCATTTTGTTCCTCCTGGAAGTGGTGAATTATATTATTTGCGGACTTTGTTAAACTATGTTACGGGTCCAAGGTCCTTCATTGATATCAGAACCATTAACGATATTATTTATCCGACATTTAAGGATGCATGTTATGCTTTGGGGCTCTTGGATGATGATAAAGAGTACATCGATGGTGTTACGGAGGCAAGTCGCTGGGGTACTGCCCATTTCCTGAGGAGGCTTTTGGTCGTGCTACTGTTATCTAGCCAACTAGGCCGACCTGAATTCGTTTGGGAAAAAACTTGGAAACACTTGAGCGATGATATCCAATATAGACAACGGTTAATCCTTCGCTTTCCAGGTATTTTTATAGCTCTTATTGTCCCGTTTTATTATATACTAATGTGCACGAGCAAGCAATGGTGATCAGTCTATTAATCTTATTCCAAGAGTAACCCTTTATGTAATCCTAAACTAATTTTATTTCTTCTTGCAACAGATTTGATTTTGTCAGAGGATGAGTTAAAAAAATTAACTCTTGCCGAGATTGATAAATTGTTGCGTAGAAATGGCAAGAGTTTACGTGATTTTCCAACAATGCCTCAGCCAGACCCGTCATTACTTTCTGAATCACAGAATAGGCTATTGTTTGATGAATTGAACTACGATAGGACGGCATTAGCAGCAGAGCACATTCAATTAATGTCCACCATGACTTCTGAACAAAGACATATATATGACACAATCATGCAAGGTGTTGAGGCTGATACTGGGGGTTTGTTTTTCCTTTATGGATATGGTGGAACAGGTAAGACCTACATATGGAGGGCTATAGCTGCACGCATACGATCTAAAGGAGAAATAGTATTGATTGTGGCATCAAGTGCATTAGCTGCTTTGCTTATCCCGGGCGGCCGAACGGCTCATTCTAGATTTGCCATTCCTATTGATGTTAATGAAGATTCCACTTGCAATATTAAGCAAGGTAGTCCGTTGGCTGAATTGATAATAAAATCTAAACTTATCATATGGGACGAAGCTCCAATGGCTCACAAACATTGCTTCGAATCCGTTGATAGGACATTTAGAGACATACTTCGGTTTAGCAAAGGTGATAGTTTGGAACGCCCTTTTGGAGGGAAGGTTGTTGTTTTTGGAGGTGATTTTAGACAAATACTCCCGGTCATACCAAAGGCGACGCGGCAGCAAGTGGTTCAAGCTACAATAAATGCGTCATACCTTTGGCAGTTTTGTCGGGTCCTTACACTGACAAAAAATATGAGGTTAGAGAGTGGTTCTCAGGACTGTGATGTTGATTCAGTCAAGCAATTTTCTGAATGGACACTCAAAGTTGGAAATGGAGATTTTAGCGATGTAATTAACGAAGAAGATGTTATTGATATTCCAGATGACATGCTCATTACCAATACAGGTGACCCTCTTGCGTCAATTGTTGAAAGCACTTACCCTTCTTTGTTGGAAAATATGAATGACCCGACATTTTTTCAGCATCGGGCTATATTGGCACCGAGGAATGATGTAGTTGATCTTATAAATGATTACATGATATCATTGATCCCCGGAGAGATGAAAACGTATTTGAGTTTTGATCGTCCGTGCTCTCTAAATGGTACTCTTGGCAGCCCTGATGATATCCACACACCAGAGTTTCTAAACTCTATTAATGCATCTGGGATACCAAATCACAAATTGTGCCTCAAGGTTGGTGTTCCAATTATGTTAATGAGGAATATAGACCAATCTAATGGTTTGTGCAATGGTACACGACTAATTGTTACTCAAATGGGTACTCATATTTTGGAGGCAAAGGTTATAACCGGTTCTAGGATTGGGGAAAAGGTTTTTATTCCTAGACTATCTTTGATCCCGTCCGATAGCCGAATTCCTTTTAAGTTTCAACGCCGACAATTCCCTGTGGTTGTGTCTTTTGCAATGACAATAAACAAAAGTCAAGGACAATCACTAAAACAGGTCGGCCTTTATCTTCCCAAACCGGTTTTTTCCCATGGCCAACTGTATGTTGCCATCTCAAGGGTGACCTCAAGGAAAGGATTAAAAGTTCTCATATGTGACGAAGAAGGTGGCACGACAAAAACCACTAAGAATGTGGTTTATAAAGAAGTGTTTCGAAATTTATCATAGGTAGGTCGTGAACTAATCAATTTCTTCATTTTCAATTTGTGAATAGTAGATTGATTTTTTTCATAATATTTATGTGCACTCTACATTACTTTATCTTCCCAAATCTAATTCACTAATTCATTTCTAACCTAGGTTTAAAACATTTCCCAAAGTCAATATATTTAGACGTTTTTTGTTTGAATTTCAGAAATTTAAAATCACAAAAAACAGTATTTCTGGAAAAAATGTGGAAAAATAGGGTTTAAAAACTTTTCAATTTAGCTTCTACACCATGATGCTTAAGGTTATCTTTGTAATTACTCAGAACATAGAGGAAGATATCTTTAATATGACAGTTTCTACGACAGAATTCGATATGGATGGGATTGTGAGTATTGTTTTTTATATGCTAAAATTAAAATCTATATTAATTTTACACGGAGCAAATAGTTTTCTAATACTTTCTCATGTGTAGCATATTGAGGGTGCGAATGCTGATACATTCATCTTGCAAAGGAGCTCAAAAGAACTGCAAATGCAATATAGTCTGCAATTCGTCTCCGAAGCATCTACCAACAAGATGAGCAAGATATCAATAATCAAGAAGGTCCGAATGAATTGAATGGAATTTACTTTAGATGCAGATCTCCGAATATTATTTAACTTAAATACAGTTCTCAACATTGGGTCCTTTGTATATTATTTTTCCAGTTTATTCTTTTCACTTTATTTCATTCTAAAGGCTGCTATTTCACATTCTGTTTAAAAAGTTGACTAAACAAACTTATCAACCATTTGAAAAGCAAAATAGTCTACTTTATTTGAACACATCTCTAGAAGAACTAAATGAATCACTACTGCACATAGAATTATAAAGCATGAAATTTTACTAACAATGTAGTAGATCATGTTGTCACTCAAAAACATACTTTAATGAGTGAGAAAAATGCTCTATAATAATGTAATTATGCACACAATGATAGCAGATTGGAAGTTACCAATTTCAGATTGGAAGATGAATTTCATCTGATTGGAAAAATGGAAGAATCAAAGTATTGTTTCACAAAAAACTTATTATGAGGAAGTTTTATTAAAATTTTATTTTGAAACAGAACTATTAACCATTATTATACTACGTACCTGATAATTGCAAGTTTTAAAAAAATCCAAGAATTAACATATAAGTCTGAATACTTGAAACAATGCGAAGTATTACTAACCTGGAATAATGCCTATATCAAGACTTCCAGATAAACAAAAGAAACAAAATAATCAATCAAATATAACTGATTATGTACAAAATCAAACATTCACCAACTAAAGTATGGTTAGGATCTTGACCAGTGAAGACTAAAGAGTACCCATAAGAGAAATTTAGATTCCAAATTAGAGGAATAACAAATTGAATATAATTAAGCAGATAATAACTTCACTGAATCATGAAAAAGTGAATCTTATAATATATTTTTTGAAACTACAGATGATTCGACTTACCATCTTTCCAACTTCTGTTGTATGAGCCCGATTTAGGCTTTGTTGTTAGCCTGTTAGGTGCCGCCACTTTCAACCAGCAAGAGTCCACTTTAAGTCTGTACCGCTTCCCGATTGCATTTCAACCCAAACCCAGATTTAGACTGCAATTCGCCCCTCAATTGTAAGAAGAAAATTACCGCTTCTTGGATTCAATTAAAACCAGTGCATAGAGCTTGGCCGGCGTTATGTGTTCCTCCACTGCCGCCGGCGTGATGCGTTAAAACATACGGAGTAAATAATTGAGTGGGGTTTTCTTTTTTGACAACAATAGAGTGTCGGTGTTACAATGTTAGATTTGTACTTCGTATATTGTTGTTTTTAATTAGGAGGTGTTTGGTTACATTCTTTTTTGAACAGGATTATCAGCCAATTTTTTCATCATAATTTTTTTTTACGTGTTGAATTGAGTAATAATAAAAAAACATAAGATTGAATTTACTTTTCTGACTGTATTGACTGAAGTTACTTTAGATGACAATTTCAACTATTTTTACATATAATTTTTTATTGTTTTATTAATATAATTAATAAAATATATTTAAAGAATATTTTTTCTTAAATCACCAGAATAAACCAATACAACCACTTCTATCGGAACTTCGTAAATTTTAGCAAAACCAACTGAATCAGCATATTCTATGGAGTAAAAATGACCTGGCGTATGAACAACACAAATATATTACATACGGAATAATAGATAGTACTATATACTAGATGTTGGGGATTTATCCGCTTTGCTTGCTCCTAACAGTCTGACAATTAATTTTCGAAATACAAAATTAACAAAAATAATTATAGCCCGTTTGATAAAATTGGGTGAATCGATTGTTTACATTTTTCAGTTGATTCGAAAAAACAAAATATGATCAATGAAATTACAAAAAATCATATTACAAAAAATCATATCGCGAAATTATCACTCATCACAATGTTTTTAGATGTTTTATATTTTAACAAAGAAGCTATAAATAAAATTTAACGTACTGTTATATTAGTTATTAACTTATTAATATTAACAGTATCTGTTTACATTTCAAATATGTATGTGAGTTTCTCCCGTGCAACGCACGGGTAAAGAATCTAGTTTTGTGAACTTTCGAATGAATGATGTGGGTAGAAATTTTGTGAACTTTCAAAAGGTTTTTTATGCTCTTGGAGGAGGGTGAGATTCTATTTTCCCTTTATCTTTTTGGATTTGACAAATGGGACCAGATTATTATTCCTTTTTAACTTTATCTAAGGGTTTGTGGAATGGTTTGTGTGTAGTGTACTTTGAAAAAATTGTATTTCTGAAGTTTGTATTGTGTACGTATTTATTATGTGGCTGTGTGTACCACTTTGAATGATTGACCTACCACATTGAATGCCTTTTTTTTAACAGCCCCATGTGAGACTACATTTAGTCTAAAGCTGTTGTACGGAGGAAAAGTCCATGACACTGCAAGACCTACTTACAGGGGAGGCACTACTCATCTGTTTCGTGATCTAGATGTGGATGAGTTTGGTCTAATTGTCTTGAAAGAGAAATTACAAGAACTTGGTTGCACTGATAAGGTAAGAAGGGTGTTTTCTTATTTAGATTCTTCATTACAAGAATTGAAAGGTGACTCAGAGATTTGGGCCTGTGTGAATAATGGAAATGTGGGTAGAGTTGTGGAGATTTGGGTTGAATTAGAAGAAGAAAATGTCTTAGAAGAAGAGGATGAAGGTGGAGATGGTGATGATGACTTCTCTGGCAGTGATTGTGCTTACAGTGAGGAGCTAGAAGATTTTTCTGGGGATGATGAAGATTCAGATCTAGGGGACTTTGTTTCTAAAGATGATAGTGATTTTTCCAATAACATTGATCCAACAGCTGAGTATGGAGGGCTGCACACCAACACTGAAGAAGAAAACATAGAAAACCATCGATCATTGGTAGATCCTGAACCAAACTTTGAAGATGATGCTTCCATTCATGGTTCTGATTCTGATGGTGATAAGTGGACTGATTTCTGTGCCCGGACTGATATGCAAAATCCTACCTTCAAGCCTGGACTGACCTTTGCTACCAAGAAAGAATTTAAAGAAGCAGTTGAGAATCATGCTTTTAAGACAGGTAAGGACCTAAAGTTTTCAAAAAGTGATAAGGAAAGAGTTGTTGTCAAATGCAAGCACTTAGGATGTTCATGGAGAATTAATCTCAGAAAGGTAGCCAATTCCCACTCTTGGAGGATACTACAGTATCACAGTACACATGAAGGGTGCTCTTGGGTGTATCACAATAAAATGGTTAACTCAACAAAGGTTGCTAAGAGGTGGTTAAAGGAGATCAAAAGTCACTCCAACTGGAAGAACAAAGAGTTCAGGCAAAAGGTATGTACTGATGAAAGGTTTCATGTGACTCAAAGGCAGGCTTATAGAGCAATGAGCAAGGCTAAAAGGCTTCTTAGAGGTGAAGAAGATGACTACTTCAAAAAAATCTGGTGTTATGTGGCTGAAATAAGGAGGAGCAATCCAATGACCACATGTGTTGTTAAATTAAGTGAAAACATAGAGCTGGATGGGCAACAGAGATTCTTAAGGATGTACATGTGTTGGGAAGCATCTCGAGAAGGCTTTAAAAGTTGCAGACCAGTACTAGGTGTTGATGGCACTCATCTAAAAACCTTGACAGGGGGGCAATTATTAGTGGCAGTTGGGGTTGATGCAAACAATAGCATATTTCCATTAGCATATGCTATTGTTGAGGGGGAAACAAAGGAGTCTTGGTCCTGGTTTTTAAATCTAATAAGAAGAGATGCTAATATCACAGAAGATAATGAACATCTATTCACATTCATGTCTGACAAGCAAAAAGGTTTGATTCAAGCTGTGACTGAGTTGTTTCCAAAGGTTGAACATAGGTTCTGTGTAAGACATTTGCATGGGAACATGAAGGTGGCTGGGTTTAATGGTAAAGCAATCAAAGACACTCTATGGGAATGTGCTAGAGCTTGTACTGTGAATTCGTTTAAGGCTGCTCTTACAAAGGTAAAGGAAATAGATCAAAAAGCTTTTGACTGGCTGGCAGATAAAAATCCAAGAGAATGGTCAAAGTCTCATTTCTCCACACACTCCAAAACTGATATGCTCACAAACAACATATGTGAGTGTTTCAATGGTGTGATCTTAGATGCAAGACAAGAGCCCATTTTGGTTTGCTTAGAATCCATAAGGAAACTTTTACTTACAAAATTTTTTACTAGTAGGGAAAAAGCAAAGAAGTGGACCTCCAATCTATGCCCCAGAATAGTAAAAAAGATACAGGAAATTGAGAAGTTTGCTGCAGGTTTGATAGGTTATCAGTGTGGAGATAATGAGTTCGAGATTACTGGGATGAGTGGTACCCAACATGCTGTAGATTTGGAGAAAAAAACTTGCACATGCAGGGTGTGGGACCTAACTGGCATCCCATGCAAGCATTCTATATGTGCTATTTGGCTGAAGTTTGGAAAAGGGCCAGTAGATGATTATGTGCACCCATGTTACACAAGGGATTTTTACCTGAAGATATATTCTGGGTCAATAAAACCAATGGCAGGGCTTGATGAGTGGCCTCTTTGTGAAAGAAGTCCACCACTTCCACCTCTGTATTCAGCCAGACCTGGAAGACCAAAAAAGCTTAGGAGGAAATCAGCTGGTGAAGCATTGCTGAGTACAGATGGAGTGAAAGTGTCAAAAACACACTTTAAGATGCATTGCTCAAAGTGTAAGAAAGAAGGGCATAATGTGAGGAGGTGTCCGGATGAGCCTAAGAACAAAGAAAAGCTGGTAAAGACATATTGCAGTCATTTTGATTATTCTTTTGTTGATACACTCTTATGTATAACCACATCTTCTTCTTATTTTTTGTATACTCAGTTGCAACCTAGGAAAAGAAAAAGGAAATCCAATGCCAAACAAACTGTGGGTACCAAACATGGTGATGGAGATGCTACTGTGGATGGATCACCTATGGTTGATGGAGTAGCTACTGTGGATGGATCAGTTATGGTTGATGGGGAGCCAACAGTTGATGGAGCACCTGTGCTTGATGGAGATGCTGGAACACCTGTGGTTGATGGACTACCTACTGTGGATGGATCAGTTATGGTTGATGGAGAACCAACAGTTGATGGAGCACCTGTGCTTGATGGAGAACCTACAGTTGACCTATATGAGGACAACTTGGTGGATGTTACTTTGGACTTTGCAGAGGCTCCTTCAATGGAAACTGAATTTCCTATGGTTATTTCAATCGAGGACACATTAATGTTTAGTCAAGACACTGAGCAAGGCATTTATGAACACAAAGAATGTGAAAAAGAGAATGAGGGGGGAAGTGGAGAACAGACTGAGAAAAGTGATGATGACTGCAGTAAGGAGATGGGGGTGAGAAATCCTCATGGGGTTAGGATCAGCTATGGACCACCCCCTCCTTCAAAGACCTCAAAAGGTAAGAAGTCAGAGCTAAAAAGAACCAAGCCTCAGAAGTTGGACATTAAGAAGAGATCAGCCTATAACACCAGATCCAAAAGCTCTTTCAAGTCTATCTTTTTTGGGAATGATGCAGACCCAATAGACCTGGAGTAGTTTAATATGTAATATGTAATATGTTTTGCGTAATATGTAAGTTTAAAACAGCCCATCTGTGTTAAACATCTTATCTGGTTGTCTTTTATACTGAGGATGCCATACTCAGCCTTTTGTACTATGTAATATGGAACATTGTATCTGTTTTTTTATTGAGGATGCCATACTCAGCTTGATCTGTTTCTTATCAGGTTCTATTTATTCAGTTTGTGTTGATGTTGTTGTTATGGGTTGTTATGGTTTGTCTTCATTTTGTTTTCACTTTCAATTGAGTTCAAATAGAGCTGTTATAAATTAGTTTTCACTTTCACTTTCAGTTTTAGTTCAGTTTGAGTTCATTTTGTTATGGGTTGTGTTTTTCATATAGGTTTGAAATAGAGCTGTTGTTATAAATTAGTTTTCACTTTCACTTTTAGTTGTAGTTCAGTTTGACTTCATTTTGTTATGGGTTGTGTTCTGCATATAGGTTTTAAATGGAGCTGTTATAACTTAGTTCTCATATGGGTTGTTACTTGTAGTTCAGTTTGAGTTCATTCAGTCTTAGTGTACCTCTGTGTTAAGATTGTAAACTACCCACACCTTATCAGAACATGTAAACATAATACAGTCACTTGCAAATCAGTTTGAAGTAACAATCAACTGATGGTTATCAGAACACGTAAACATAATGAACTCCCTTGCAAATGAGGTTGAAGTTACAATCAACTGTTGCTCAATACATCATAAAAGTCACATTAAGATCACAACATACAAGCCAAAGTATTACATATATGCGTACATGGATACAAAAATAACAATTGTTACAAAGCACGCAATCTGAATGATTTTTGGGTTTTTTTTCTTCATTTTGTATTTCTTCTTTTCATTTTCTTGTAACTCTTCCACCTTCAAGTGCAATAGCTGCATTTGGTCTTCATAGCCATTCAATTTTTTCAGCAACCCAGGAATAATTTTCTGTGACCTCTTGCACATTGGAGGGTCAAACCAGTCCATGAAGCCACACCCCTGACATCTCTGCAAATTTAGGTTTGATTAATAAGTTGCTCAAACAACAAAAAATAAGCACTGCTAATAGAAATTCACCTCACTTCCCACGCATTTCCAAAACCTTCTCCCACAGTTATCATGTTTCCATGTGGTCAAAAGCTTCATTTCAAGCCCACACTGACAATGCTTTACCGGAATCCATTCTCCATATTCATACCGAGATTTTGAAGAAGAAGAATAACTGGTAGACATTTTGGGTTGTTTGTGCTCCACTTGTGAGAAGAACGACGATGGAGTTCAAACGAGAGGTAGAACGAAGGAGTTGATGGATGAGGGCCACCGATTTAGGGTTCAAAGGAGAGGTAGAAGATGATGGTAGAAGCTCTATGTACGAAGGATTTAAGGATGGGCAGGAATAAGTGAAAAGGGATGTGAGTTTACTAAAATAACCTTCATTAAAACCTAAAATTAGTAACCCCGTCGGAGTTGTCACCGGAAGGACGAGGAATGGTAACGGAATAAAACGATGGGATAAGATGTGGCGAAATCAGAAGCATGGTACAAAATGTGGAAGTGGCATAATAGTACCGGGACCAAAAGTGGTATTTTTTCTTTAAAATATCACACTAGTTTCCTCCTTCATCTAGATGCAATATAAATATGATATACAAAAAAATATAGTGGCCTGCGTTATGAGTATTCTAGCTTTAGACCGTTATCGGCATCATAGTGGGTTTGCTCCAAGCTGTATTTCTTTTGGTTGTAATTAATAAGGTATGGAAGACAAGTTGCAAGTTGACGAAATTTGAGCAGTGCGGACACGATGGGAATTTGCGAACAACCAAGTCCAAAACGCTAGGTTTGTTAGCTTTTCCAATTTTGACTGTTTGAGATCAAAGGCCAAGTGAAAAAACTAATTAACCAAACATCTCAATTAGTTATCTATTTGGTTAAAAAGCCAAATAGTGCTCAAATCAGCCAAAAAATGGCTGATAGGCCATTAACCAAACACCCCTTATTGTTGTCCTTGTCCCCATAACGTTTTATTTCCTTTGAGAAAAAATCAATAGTAAAATCTATGATTGGCACTTGGCAGAGCTATTTTGAGATCATCTTCTATCATATTGTGGGTTTTTTGTACTAGCATATTGTATTGTTTTGAGCGTAAAACAGAAAAATATATTAATGGAAGTAATGCCGAATACATGGAGGAACCACATATAACTAAATATGAGAATCAGTCTGTGAAGAAGCTGCCCGAGCTAAAGTATCAAGTATGGGCCAGTAAATTCATTGATCTAAGAATAAAATGAAAAGACATTGGATTAAATTGTCTTGTTAAAGATTTGCAACTGGAAATGATAGCACTTGCATAAGAAAAATCCCGAATTGGAGCATTAAGAAGATTACACACATTGAGCAACTGGAAATAACTTTATTGATCTATGTTTTTTTGTTTTTTTAAATGTGATGTTTTTTTATTAAATATGTTAGAGATTAAAGTTGTGCATTCGCAAACATAAAAACGGAAGTTTGTAATTAAGATCTAACGGAAGAAGTACATAGTAATGCATATCATGTAATTGTGAATCATAAAACGTTTAAAATTAAGGGAAATTGCAGGCTAAGAGCGAGAATAATATGAGTGGAATTGGTACATTTTGCTTATCATCATTCAACTGGATTATAGTGCGACACTTCCTGCTAATGTGACGCTTTTAAACACACACCTGATGGACACCTCAAGTAGGGGTTGAAGTGCTGAATCCTTCACTCAAACAAGACAAAGGGCATTAAGCCAAAATTAGCAATCAGGAGTGAGAGATCATACATTGGGCGTTGATTAGTTTCCACTTCGACGATCTTTGTATGTACTTCGACACCCCCTTCCCCTGTCTTCTCAATTAGTACCTTAATAATTGGTGTACGTGTGATGTTTGATTATACTATGAATATATTATATATGAATCATACAATACAAAAAAACATGGAATTGGCAGAGATTTTGGCAGGTTTTGAAAAAAAAGGATGGATTTGACAAGGATATGTCAAATCCGTGCCAAAAACACTTTGGCACGAGCTATTTGGCACGAAAAATCGGCAAATCCGTGCCAAATTCCGTGTCAATCCCATGTTTTTTGTAGTGTTAAGTAGATGTTATAGATTTCACCAGCAAGTTCTTGACATCTAAGGTTAATTTAATTTGGAGATTATTGGTTAATTTTTGTAGGTAAATTTTTCTAGATTATTTGCTCAACAAAATCTTCTATAACAAGAATGATTTTTCAACATCTAGTTCAAGTAGTTTTTATTTTCATATCATTCTGTCACCAAATCAATGTTCACGCATTCTTTAATAAAATAAGTGTGACTTCTTGTCAAAAAAAAGTGTGACCTTTTATTATTTCTCTTGCACTCCATCACACAATTTTACTGTTCATAAAAAAGTATCAAATCAATTCGGAAAAAACGAACAAAAAATTTGATATGATATCTGTGTTTTGTGACAAGTAATTAGTTTTCAAGGCATCAATTTTCCTTCATATGAATTGAAGCATGACATAAAAACAACATTTCAAGTTTGTGAATATATATTGTACTTCGTACTAAATAAAGAGTAGTACGTATTATTTACGTCAAACAATTCTTTTTTTTTATCGAAGGTGACTTAATTCATATAAATGGAAATAACATTCAGTAAGGGTACAAGATAATAAAAGAACCATGCATAAGTAATTATCCGCCCGTGGCCGAGACTGAGAGTTAACCACCTGTAGAAAAGCAGTATAACTCGCTAGACCGAGATTGGGCAACTTAAAGCCAATGATGATTACTGTAGAGCTTTCAAAACTCAAACCTAATGCAAGAGTCTTACAGCATAAAATAAAATAACAACAAAACACAAACGTTTTAACTTGGAAATTAAAATGCATAAAAGATAAGTAAGCAAACTCCAAAATGCGTCGATTAACCCTTGGCGGTGGTTCTGGGGGAGGCCGGACCCTCACAACGATTGTTGTTGCACCAAAGCGGTTTTCCTCCGACTCGACCGCCTCTACTTCATCATTTTTGTTGCACCAAAGCAATTTCCCCGTGCACCAAACAGATTCCGTCAGATCTTGGAACCCCGGAAGGATGATCTTCCAGTCCGTAATCACGGCATCGACTTCTCCAGACATGGAGATCCTCTCCCTTCGTTCGTCCCCTGCGTCTTCCTGTTTGGCCAAACCCAAGCCGCGACCAAGCCCTTCCAACGAAACCCAGACCACTGCCGTCGTACGCCTTCACCACAACTTAAGCACCGTTCTTCGTTAATAAACGAAAACGGGAAACGAACCCCAACGGCGGAAAGCCCTAGGGAAGAAAAATCTATTCAATTCTTAAAAACTGAAATATTCGATCAAGCATTATTGGTCAATTCAATGCCTCATTAAGATGTGTAGACGTGTAGTTCGAAATGTAACACTTCATTTACGATCTACATACACCTTATATATCATAGTCAAATGAAGAGCCAACAAAGGTTTATTCAATTTACTCCGTATTTTGAAGAAATTAATTAGTGCATCACAACACTCAGGTTACTACTAGGTAAGAAGAGTGTCATCTTGAACTTGGGTAAAAGGGCCACACTCAAAGTTGTATACATATATTATAAGAGCATCCAACATAATTTAGGTTCGATATAGTGACGGACCTAGAATTTTTCTCAAACGGGGACACTACTGTATGAACGAAGACATGCTGGGTTGGGTGTAAGACTAATCTATTCAATGTGCAGATATTTTTTTAAGCAAAAACAAGTTATTCAATGTCAGTTTCAATTGATTTACATCTATGTACAACAGGTCTAGTTTTCAACCCATTAGAACAATTCTAAATAATAATATTCATTTTCTTGAAAGAAAAACATAATATTTTAATATTTAGATTTGAATCATCTTGACACCATTTCTGGTTTTGGATTAGAATTCAAGTTGTTTTTGTACTACAATCATTTAGTATTTTGATTTAGAACTACGATAGTGTCCAAAATTCCTTCATAAACTTGGGATGAAATTGTGAACCCTAAGAGCATCTCCAATGGGAGGGTGCATTGCAGCTGATGTGGCATAGGAGAGAGATAGAGATAGAATAAATATTTAGATGAAGTTGTGTGTAGGAAAAAATGAAAAAGAGGAGAGAGATAGAGGTAAAAATGGACCAAGGTCTGTGACAAGGTCCATATATGGACCTTACACGGGATGTTCGAGGAGGAAAAGTTGATGAAAAGTGGGTTAAAAGTGATATAAAAAATGAAAATGAAAATAAATTAGGAAATACGTGGGTCCTACACATAAAAATTGTGAGATAAAAAATGGGACTCATGCGTAAGGGTTTGTAAGAGACCACACCCTTGCATTGGAGTTGCTCTAACACGTAACTCCCGACCAAACTAAACTACTTTAATTTTTTGATTCAATCATCTCCCGTTTGTTACTACTATACCCTTTTCTAATAACTCTGTTATGATAATATTTGTTTTGTCGGAATATGTCCTTTATTTTACAAGAGGATCCCAACATTTTAGTAACATAACCATGGACAAATATCCAAAGAAAGTATCCACAAACTTCTTTTTTGTGTGCAATAGTCACAACAACGACTAATTGTAATTGGTAAGAAAACAATGAATATATCGTGTGTATGGAATTTCATTTAAGATAATCTTAAATCCATTTTTCTCACCACACATATTAGAAGTCTTATTAAATCATTGACTTCTAAATTTGGAAAAAGAGAATTCGTGCTTCACAAAAAATAACCATCAATATCACTTTTCGAAGAATGAATGTGTCAAGAACATGTCTAACTATATGAAATCGCTTCATCATAACTCCTTAGTCATTTAAATGTCTTATAACAACTTACATATGCTCTTTGACAGAATTATTACATGACAAATTAATAATCATCGTTTTATATCAAGAAGCGGGGGCATTAACTGTATCATAAGTACTAATACAAAATTTCGGGGTCGGAAGCGGGGCACTTGCCCCCACCTCCCTATGTCACGCCCCAGACCGCATCTAAGCGCGTGTACAACCACCGTATGACTAAATGATGTCACTCGCAAGTCAACGTAACTTAATCATACAAGACGCCCATGATCATAGTCCATACCATACTCAATAAGTAAACATACATAACAACATCACATATTTGGATTGAACGAATAACGGAAATATTCAATATTTAATCATGGGCCACACATAGCCAAAACGTGGGCTCGCAGGCCCAAAACAAATGTATTTATTACAAAGTATCTATGAGCATAGTTTCTAGTTTTAAATAGTAAAGGAAGCATGAATCACGTCTTCCTTTAGATCACTTCACCGAGCAAGGTGAGAATAGCAAGCTTGAGCTTCAACCTGAAATGGTTCCCCCCCCCCCCCCCCCCGAAGGGGTCAGTACAAGTACCGAGCGAGTAACATGCTAAATGTAGAATAACTAATGTTTCAAGTATAAGACCCAAACATAGGGTGATACATATACATATAGTCCTTTCCCCCAAGTTATGAAATACATATCAGTATATATACATTTGGAAATACCCGACCCGTAGGTCATTGTTTATTTGGGAAAATAGTATAGCCAATATCCTTGACTTAAACCCCAACCCACCCATATACCTATGAGTGTATAGAACTCCTCCTGATTCAAATCATCTTAACATGAGGACACCTCCCGATCCTGAATTTCAAAATAGTAATCTATGAGTTTTGAGGATACACGCCCGATCCTTGGGTACTCCACCCTACATAATCGAGTTTTGAGGATACACGCCCGATCCTTGTGTACTCCACCTTATAACCGAGTTTTGAGGATACACGCCCGATCCTTGGGTACTCCACCCTATAACCGAGTTTTGAGGATACACGTCCGATCCTTGGGTACTCCACCCGACTTATGATCTACCACATATCATCCTAGATAAGGTCTATATCATAATCAATAATCAAGAATAAACCAAGTCTTAAGGCCTAAGCATAATCATCCATGCAATTTATGCATTAAAAATCAACATATAGGCAAAACAACACCAAACCGGCGCCGGTTTTGACATAACCGGCGCCGGTTATTAACTAAATTAATTAAACCATCCATGCCGAACCATAACCGGCGCCGATTTGGCCTATAACCGGCGCCGGTTACCCCCTGGGCAACCTAGTCAACATTTTCGTTGACTCGCCATTTCAAACCCGATTTGTGTCAAACTTAATCCCAACATGTATTAAGTTATAACCAAGCATTTTATGCCCTTTTTATCCTTTAAAACATCATATAAGTTCTTATAAACATTTTCATATCACACTTCATTTATGATATCAATGGATCATTCATATAAGCTTAATCACTTTGGCTAATCACATGTTTAAGCATCTTTTAAACATCATTATGAACACATATAACATTTACTTAGGTAATCTCATAATTGACCCAAGAGTTATAAGACATTAGTCCACTCACCTCGAATTAGCGCTATAAAGTTCTACCCTTCTCAGTTGAACTCCGACGAAACTCCGATGAACTTTGACGAGCTCCGGCGATAACTCCGGCGACTCTTTCAACTTCGTGAAAGCTCTTGAATCACCTTATACAAATGCCTAACAAGGTTTTATCATCACAAAACTCATGTCAATACAAATAACCTTAAAAAGGTTATTTTCCGGCGAACCGGTCCGTTTGACTTCTAAGTCCGGTTTTGGACTTAGAACTACTTTCCAACCCATCGTTCTACACTTTTGGACGTGTAGAAACACCCTAGGGGTTTCTCATATGCTATGTAAGTCATATGAAGTTCAAAGAGAGGAGAAAAAGTTAGTATGGAGTCATTACATTAATTATCCAAGTTTTCCCTCACTTTTTCCCTCCTTAAACTTTCTCTATGGACTTCTCTTTGTTTGTGCTCAAGGTGTAGATATGGAAGATGGTGTGCAGAGCTCTTTCCTCCTTCCTTGGGATGTGCTGGTCGAGAATGATGGATGAGAGAGGGTGGAGAGGTTGTTTTGTCTCACTTAACCAATGAGTGAATGGGAGGGGCCCTTTGGCTTTCAACCATGTTCCTCACACCCCTTCATGCATCATAATGTGTCCTTCCAGCTCTCAATAGTCAGCTCTTGCACACAAAAACATGGGATGGACCCCACTCACGTGGGAGGTCATCCAAACTTGTCCTGAATGTACAATCGGTCTCGAAAGTTGTATTTCTCGGACTATTATAACTATATTTTATTTTATCGCGTCAAATAAAATATATAGTATGTTCTCAATCATTACAGGCCTTTATAATGAATATAAATTCCCCAACTTTAATTTAGAAGTCTCCGAAATTCATTTTGGACTCTTATCCGATAAATTACCAAAATTGGTAATTGGACCTCGTTTGACCAACCCGTCGACTCAGAGTCTTTCTTATGGTCCAAGATGAATATATTATCTACGCAAAATGAATATATTACGTGGCTTCGTAAAATCGGGTGGCCCCCTCTCCAGGTGTGGGTCCCGCGTGCAATTTACTATTCACGCAAAAGAAATAACAAAAATTTACAACCTCGTAATTCATTACTTATTTCATAAGGTTCAATACATAATTTACACAAAAGTAAATATATTTGGGGACGATGTTACACCCTAGGTCCTGGTTCGATATGATCTTGTGTATATGTATATTTTAAATTTATTAAGACCTCTCCCCCATAATCTTAAACTACATATTAATACTGGTGTTCAAAATACATGTCGGTCGTTAATTTCATTGTTCATGACCTCCTATTTAAACATGTGTCTTGGGATCCCCACGTGTCTATGTCTTTAAATTAAGTGATTAAATATGTTGCATTACACATTTACACCCTTCAATTCGTGACATATATTCTTAAATACTTATAATTGTAATTAGATGATTGCTATCCATGTAATTGCTAAATAAGTACGTGCCATCCTTGCACAAGCAGCACAACTATTTAAGATCCACTGACATTCAACCTAAGGTTTATTGGTAGTACCTATTATATAAGTAAAAGCTATGTAAAGAATTATTTGTGCAATACTGCAATAATTAGGTGGTTTAACGTACACTTTAATTAGCTATATAGCTAAATATAGTCAAATTTAAAAAAACGAAACGAAGAATGATCGAAGACACAGTCCAATAAGTAATAACTGAGTTTAATGCACCAAACCCTCTCGTAAAATATAAATTCGGCGCATTAGCCCCCTATGATTTAAAAAATGCGTCAAACTCCCCTGTGTTATAATTAATCATGAACCCACCCCCCTCCAAGAACAAATATAATTTCCAAAAATATGAAAAATGATTAGACTAATATATTTAGGAATCTGTCTAATATATATTTAGGAATCTGTCTAATATCTATTTAGGAATACTTTGTATTTTGGCAACTCCTCTATTATAAATATATCTGTCAGGACTCCTATTGGAGTACCTCTTTCCCATTATTTCACATGGTATCAAGAGCTCTAGGT